CTCTCAAGTAGTCACAATTACCAGAGTTCTTGGTCAATGTTTAACCAGCTGTACATATTTTGTGCTGTAAAGCTTTCTACACATGCCTTTCACTATGCTTCTTAGCTTTTCTTTTTTTTTTTTTTTTCAGAATTTCCACTGCTTTGTCTGAATATTTCCCATAGAGAAGCATTTAAAGCTGTGAGCGAGGACATGTTACCTATCATATCATTAGCTATTTGAATTGTGAGAACAGGGCAACAGTTAAGTGTTTCAATTCAACATTACATTTATTGCACGGTGTCTTAAAGTATGTCTTTGACAGCTTTTTGGCTGTGTTGAAACAGTAAACCCCAGGTGTGCTTCCCAGTTGGAAGGTAGAGATGAACACATCTGGCAGGTTCTGACTGAATTTTAGGCTGAGACCCAGATAACCATGAGTTTGGTCCCATTGATGCCCTGTGTACCTTGCTTTCCAGGTGTATCAGATGTGCAGGAACAAATTGCTTTCCTGTAGCTCTTCCTCTCCTTTCCTTTCACAGCTTCCTCTCCTGTAGATCCCCAGTGGGGACAAACAAAGGAACAGGACTGCAGGGAACAAAAACTACCAGGAACCCTCTCTCACAGTGAGCTCACAGTCTTGATGAGTACTGAATGAGGGAGGATAAAATAAAGGGAAGAAGACAAGGTTATAGGAACACGCCTGTGGGTGGTATCATGCCTGTGGGTGGTATAACATTCAAGCCCAAACTACATTTTTCTCATTAACATAGTGTCACTGGGTATTGTCAAAAAGCTTAACTTTGTAGTGACTGCTAACAAAATATTTGGGAGTGGGACGAAGAAGAAGAAGGAAATGCTTAACCTACAGCCCAGGACTGCACAGCAGTGTGTGACTTGTAGCATGATACAACGAATGGACAAAATACAACATATGAAAACTCATAAAAAAAGTGAAAATGAGCCTTAGAAAAAGAGATGCAAAATACAACACTGTTACCTGAATCACCACCAGCTCATTCAGTCATGACCAGGCCCAAGTACCTTTAAACATCTGACAGGCAAGCCTTACTTAAAGAAAAGCATCATGTATAATTTCAACTGTGGAACTGCACAGCTGTACACTGAGGTTATCCGCAATGTTCTCCCCTGGCTTGATGACAGGGATAAAAGCAGAAATGGGAACTGAGTGTAGCAATGTCTAGCTTCCCCTCTAGCAATGAATTTAAACTTTTGACTGGATTAAAGTGTAGAGGAATCCAGGGCAAACATACCTGCTGGTATCCCTTGACACCAATGGTCTGAATGACTCAGAGTACTGCATTTCATTCACAGCTTCTTTCTTTTAAACCATGTATGTGCTAAACTTCAGCCCTGTCCCATGTTCTCCTCCATCCTGCATGCATTATGTACAAAAAATGGACCGTTGCTTGAAGGAAACATGAGAGTGGTGGAGTGAGTCTTCTGTTTTCCCCTAGCTCCTCCAGTGGAAACACCATTTTTATGTCTTTTTTTTTTTTTTTATGTCTCTTTTGTCTCTCATTTTAACAGTATGGAAACATCATTTTTAGTCTCTTTGCTATAAAATCCAGCAGAGAACCTTGCTGAGTTCCTCCAGTGCTGGAAACTAGAACTGTGGCCCAAATCCACTTTCAGTTTTGTGAGGTCAGCCTAGGTCCCTGGGACTTGGTTCCTCTTGCTCTAAACACAGTAGAAAAAAAGGCACAAACAGCTACTGTAATCAAGATCTCACTCTTATTCTTACATAACCTAAACTAACACTACTCGTCATGTGTTAGGCTAATGCCTAACCTATTTGCTCTCTTATAGCTTGGGCAAAATCTTGAACCAAATATAAAACAAGCCAGAGCCAATGCCTGGGTGACCCGATATATACTAGCCTTGTGTTATTCAGGTAGTTTCATGAGTATTGGAACTAAGGAAATTTTCTTTCCTACAGACTTCTGTCCTCTGGCTGATTTATGTCTAGTGAGGTTCAAGATCTGATTAAACCATTGGCTTTGACTGGGGTTTTCACAGCTTCCTCTCCTGTAGATTCACTCTGGTGTGGTAACTTTTGACTCTGCAAGCTCAGACTGAAGCCCTTCCCTCTGTTACACTGTGATTAAAGCCTTTCTCTGCTGATGTAGTCTTCTTCTCCTAGACACAGATTTTCATGAAACATACTTTGTTGTTGCCTCTGCCCCTTTCAAACTTTTTTGGAGCCTGAGTTCAGATCTTACTTAAACGGGAGGACAGACAGGCAAAGAGATACATGCAGACAATGTGGTTGCACAAGTCTTATTTCCTTTGGAAAGCAGACAAAAGAAGAAATTGTCTCAAAGTGCATTTTACAAGCCTGCCTATTTTTACTCCTTGGATATTTGAATCCTCTGTGTCCAATCTGAATAAAATGCATTCAGCATGATGTTGGTGTAATGGAAAATCAAACAACTCAAGCCCAATGGCTATGAAGGAAACAAATATTGTTTCATATGTTCAACTCGCCAGAGGCCTACAAACAACATAAAAGTAGATACAGAGATGAGATTAATAATTCAACTCTATTTTGGGGGCCTTCCAATGTTTAGAGCTCTCTCCTTCCCTCTTCTACTCACATACAGTGTCTTTTCTTTCACTTCCTTTGCACTTCCAGGGACCTCTGTGCAGGGCAAGTCTCCCCTCCAGCCATAAGATGCTGGCATATGACTCTCCCCAAGACTTGGCAAAGCCACACAATGAAGGCACTCCACTTTGGAGCTCACCTGATGAGAGCCACTCTTGTCCTCACCTACATCACTGGGGCATCACTACATCTCTTTAGCTTTACTTCCAGCTGTAAACTACATTCCCCTGTTTCAGATTCCCAGAGCTTAGACAGACTTTTTGGAGCATTTGGACCAAATCCAATTCACCTCTGCAGCTGCGGATACCTTGGCACCCTGCTTTTTCAAAACTCATCATGTGAGAACACCATTGATAATGGTATATGAGCTGTATTAGCTACACAGCTAATACTGCCACATTTTTGCTCGCAGAGACATTGTGCAAAACTGCCACTTAGAAAAAGTGCCATGAGTGTATGTAGGAAACAAATATCAGTAGGTGATAATCCATGCTTTACTAGCAAAGCTTTGTTCAGCAACAGTGTTAAACATAGATCAGAGACAGACTCCATGCTATTTTTGTGAGACATATTATTATTTTGATATCTTCTTCACTTCACAGTCACAGAGGAAAGATAGGATGAGTGTTGATATATCCATAGTAGTAGTATGTCACTTGCTAAATCCCTGCCAACCAAACTGCGAAGCCAGGAATTACTATTTCACATTTATTCTGACTAGTAAGAGTCAATAATTCTATATTGGGGATTACTTCCCTTTATTCCAAATAAGTTTAATCTACTTATGCCTACATTTTCCTAAAAATAAATGAATAAGTAAATAAATGAAAAAAATATATCCAGTTCTATAAGCAACAGTTTCTTTGCTTGATTGTGTTACATTTTTGCCAGATGAACTTCTCTGACATGCGTATTCATATGAAGCTAATAAAAATACCCCTAGTCCTCTTAAATATTTCCATCCCTAAACCCTATATACTTTTATCGCATATTTTCGGTAATATACCAATTAGGTATTTGTTAGCAGACAACCAAAAGCATTCCCTTAAGTAGAGGAAAAAGCTTGGGAACACACTGTGTCAGGCACCCTGTGCTAGCCATCTAAATTATTTTTTTTGCAGGATCTCTTTTTGCTCTGTTTGTCTGTGACTTTGATAGGTTTTTGTTTGTTTGGTTGGTTTAAGTCACATATCCGACACTGCATTTTACTCCCTAGTGCTTTCATCAAAACCTGCAGAGAATGTGCTGGAAGCACAGCATTTCCCCAGTAGCCTTCTTTTTGATTAGAAATTCATACTCTCAAACTGAAAATCACCGCTGTATTCACCGGAGGCAAGAAATGATTTATGGGCAGGTTCATTTAACAGTGGCTGTTCATAAGGAAAGATAAGACATTTTATATGTGAGGGACTGAGGCCAAAGTTGCCCTCTCTGACATTGTTGATCAATGCCTAGGCTTTGCTAGAGCTGTGATGCACAAGCTGCCACTGTTGTTTCTAAAGATGCTGGGGACCTGGGGCCATGCTCCACTATAGAGCATAGCTCCCTCCAAACTCATATTTTCCTTTGAAAAACTTTTCTTTATGAAAGAACCCCAAAGGGTTCCCAGAGAAGGGCTGAATGGCCACAATGATCTGCAATGTTTATCTAAGGGCCCCTGCCAGAGCCCTGCTGATGCATCAAGCACTAGGATATATTTAGCACCAGTCTTCTCTGCAGAAAAGGCTTCTATTTTCATTGCTGAAAAACATTTGCTTTTTAACTTTCTTTATCCTGCAGGGTCTATGCAGTGAGAGGACCTGTTTTTCTTCCTCGGGTGGCCAGTCCTGGCTCCTCTGCCATGACATAGAGGCAGCAAGATGCCCAGCTTCTCTCTCAGCCCCTGTGTGAAGGGTACATCTACAGCCCTCGTGCTCAGGCACTTCAAATGCTTCCTCTTCTCTTTTGGCCCCAGATCTACCAGATGAATGCAAACTCCTAAAAAGATCAGGAGACAGATGTATTCCAAGTACAACAGCTGCTGCTTCCTTCTCCCCTGCTTACTGTTGCTGCTTCAGTAATGCTGAGTTCACATAATGCCCCAGTGAGGATAAAGAGCAACACTGTGTGTGTCCTGAGTTTCACTTGTTTACGTCCTACTGACTGTGGCTTTTCCTTCAGTGTCACTGTCACAGGGGTGACATTATCATGGACCAACATTCAATTTAAAAGGAGGAAATATTTCAATTGTTTTTGCACTGATAACCCAGGCATCTGCTGTTGCAATGTAATCCATTGGTCTGAGCAGTGGTGGCATCACTGTCCTTTCCCCCACAATATACACGTTCTGTGGGTGTTGTTAAGTGTTCGCAAACCCTTATCAGCAAAATTCACTTTCTGCAGTGTTTCCCAAGTGCTGGACTTGGCCAGTGTCTCCCACAGCATGTTCATTTTTTTTTTTTTTCTGGGAGGACTACAACTTTGGGATCCTCAGCCTTTTCTGATTTATGTCCCTTTGCTTGTGGTGTTTTGTACTCTCCGTCCAGTGTGCAGGGTGAGTACTCTCTCCATCCTCTGCAGGGTTACCAAGGGAGCTAGTAGCATCCTTTGCTCTCACTGCTTGCTCAGGAGCAAACCGGAGTTCTTCCAGGAGGCTCCATGTTTTGGTGCAGCCCATGGAGTCCATCTGGTCTCCTACCAGGGGCTATCTAAGCCCCTTCAGTTCACCATCTCAACTCTCCTGCTTTCATCCACTCACCAACACTTCTCCCCAGCTCTCTGTCTACAGATACATTTCACCTAAGAGCTACTGTCTGTGGCACAGCTTCACACTCTCCTGATGGGAGCCTTTCACAGCTCTTCACAGATGTCAGAGCCACTGCAACAGATCAACAGATGAGGAAAAGGAGTGGACTTGACTGGCCCAAGTGGAAATTTTCTATCCACTCCACCTCCCCTGAAGGCATGTCTTGGGTAGATGGACCACAAGTTTCTGATTCACTGCAAAAAATTATCTGGTGTGGAAGGATTTGCTTAGAGCCCGGTTCCAAGCTAACCTCCAGGTGAAGGAGACTGTAATCTCAATCTCTGTGTGTATTTTTTTTTCCTCAAGCCATACTTTTCTTCTGTTAGTTAAACAGCTAAGTGAGACAAACATGCTTATTAGTGATAATACTATCTACATTTGTGCAGAACGTGGTATTACCTGCCTCAGCCTGTTGTGTGTAGGAGGGTCCTGCTGGTCCTGCTGTGAATAACCACCGCTGTTTTTGTGTAGCTGTTCAGAGGACTGAAAAAAAAAAAAAAAAAAAAAAAAAAAAAAAAAAAAAAAAGAAGATAAAGAGAAATAAGAGAAATATAACTCCTACCCAAAAGAGAAGGCACAGTCTCTGGCTTAATTTACATAGCTACCTTCAGAGTTGATCTTGACTGCAGCTGTGTTCAGTTTTTTTAGCAACAGCACCAGAAAGACATTTATATAAGCAGAGCATCCAGGCACAAGTGTAGCCATATCTGACAGACCATTAAATGGATTTTTTAAATGGGAAAGTATATATATATACACTTCATTAGAGTTTTGGGGAAAATTTACCTCAGAAGTCCCATAAAGAAACAAAGCAGAGCTCTCTACCATGAACTTTAAGTACGATTACATTATTGAACCTTCTTGTTGCATGAAAATTTAATTTGTTTTCCACATAATTTATTTCCCATTTAAATGTCTTTTTAATTGCTCTCTAGGTGATAAGCAAAATAAAATATAATTTACAGCACTTTTAGTAACAAATCCATTGTTCATTTTCCTATGAAGCTTAACAAACTAGCAAGGTAATTTTAAAGTAGCTTGTATTCAGATAGACCTGATGTTTTTTTCAGAGAAAATGTGTGCCAGCTTCACAGCCTGAGAGTGAGAACACACCTTTCTTTTTTCAAATATTCACACAGAAAAACGTGAAATGTTGTCCCAGCTGAAAATAAAGTTTCCTGTGAGACCTTGGGGGAGACTGTACAGCACATACAAACAGCAATTGGCAAATTCCTCTTTTCAGGTCATTGGGATTTTCATATGGCAACTATATGCTTTTGCTTCAAAGAGGAACTACCACAGTACACTAGGCATGAATAAAAATTGAATAGTAGGCTATTTATTTGGAGGTCATACCTCCCTGGTATCATTAAGCATGATGAAGTTATATTTAAGTTAAATAAATTAACTACATTTCTCTATATTTCTCATTCTCGTTTTTTGCCTAGCTTCTCTGCAGTCCCAGATACCATACAATCATATAATGAAAGACATATGCTGCTATAAGGAGCTTGTAGGTGAAACCTACAAGCATGAACAGAAACACGAGACCTATTACAGATGTAGAGTTATCAGACCAATAGACCTTATTAATTTAATGTTTTTTCCAGAGCCATCCCAACCAAACTGAAGTGCTACAATTAGGAGCATGATCACCTGAGGCCCCCTGTGGATTTGATGGAGAAGGATGGTCTTTGCAGAGGGAGGCTTGGACCTCAGGTTAGCACCAAGGGGAATCCCACGCTCAGCGCCTGGCCTGCAGGCTGAGCACAGGCAGCATGTTGGCCATTAAGGATGAGCAAACCCATGCCTGGCTGCCACACTGGGCTATGCCCTTTCTACTGTCCCTGTAATGTCTGGATGAGAGGGATCCCCAGCTGTGCACCTGGCAAACCTAGGCTTTGCCCCTTTCTTTAAGGTCCTGCACCCCCGAGGTGGCAGTGACCCTTCTGCCTGGCATGGAGGTTGCTCGTCTGAGCGTCCTGGCTGGGAGCTCCACATTCCACCCCACCAAGGCCATCTGCTCTCTCCCAGAGCCACTCATGTGCCAACATCTGTCACCAGCCATGTCTGAATGCCACCAAAGCTCCTGCTGGGCACTAATCACCTGTGTACCCCAGCACCACAAAGCCAAACTCATGTCAACTTTCCAAGTGATCCTACTGGTGTGTTTTTTCCAGTCAGCACTCAACTGCATTCTCCCAGTGCTATATTTGGTTGATGTTCCTTATCGTTATATTTTCCTTTCTTTTTTGTTGATGTTTTTGGTTGATACCATGGAATGTTTTCCGAATCATAAATCTGTTATTCAACAATCTCTCTTTGTCCCCCATGGAACATTTTTATCTGATGCTCCATTATTCTGCATTTAGTAACAAGAGAACTATGTAACTATCATAACACCATACCCAGCTTGCAAGGCTTTTGTCATGAATAGTGTCCAGACTTCTCATTTTTCAGGTGGCCTTTTTGATTAAATCAATAAGTAGCAGCTTTGCAGACAAAAAGCACTCATCTTTTTTTTTTCTGTAAACCAAGTACCATTCAGATATTTTGGTGTAAGATGTATTGTTCATCAAAATTATGGTTTATGGCAAGACAGAAATTATTCCCGAAATTTAACAAAACTTGTGATTTCTTCAGCTAGAAGACAGATATCAAGAACAAGAAAAAGTATTTTATCATTTTTGTTGCTTCTCAAAACAATGTTTGGAACAAGAGTTAACAATAAAAGGGCTTAAGTACTGAAAATAAAATTTAGCGTTTCTTTTGAGGTCAACTAAAATGTTTTATTTGTACCAAGCAAAACTTTAAAGATATTCTCTCTCTCTCAAAAAAAAAAAAAAAAGAGTCATGCAACTTGAAAAATGTCTTTTAAGTATAATCTGATTCACCCAGAAGATTGAAGAACTCACTGTTCTGGCCTTACTTTGTGTGTCAATAACTGATCGAGCCTTAAGAAACATCTCTGGAAATCTTGGCTTCTAAGTCCTGACATTGTACAATTGCTATTGGTAATGCAGTATCAGAAGTATTTCAGTACAGACTACTCTGTACGTGGAGGTGCAGAAATCCTTCCTTCAACCATCCTTCAGATGGTTGGTAAAATAATAGGGCGCCACCACTTATTCCAGTCCAAGCCTCAGAATAAGACTGAAACAGATATCTAAACATACCTGCCTTGCCTTTCTTTTTCTGGTGTGATCTGAATTCCACAAATTTTGTATTTTTCTCCCTGCTTTGGGCAGGCTGTAAAAATAGGAAAGACACTGGTACTGGTTCTGGAAGAAGACTTACAGACCGACAGCCTGAGAGCCACCAGCAGCCTGGGATCCAGATGGAGAAATGAACCTCACGGAAACCAAATCCATAGAGGATCCACAGGGAGATGAATTCCTGAAGCTGAATGTGAGCTGATTTGGGGAGTACATTGCATATTGAAGTAAATCATGACACTGCTGTAAGGCACAGATAACCAAGGTTCAAATCCCTGTACTCTCTTTGGTTCACACAGGGGGGTTGAACCAAAATCTTCCACATCTCAAAGTGCTCTATCTGAAACTAGTGCATGTGGCTTTCTCAATTTCTCCTTCTGGACATGTTCTCTTGTGAGTAAAAATTTGCATATGAAGAAAGAAGAAATGATTCTCCAGCCTTAGGATTTGAAATCTTACCTCAGTCGGGGTGTGGTTATGTATACTGCTCTCACTCGGGTTTCAGCCAGGGAAAGCAAGCTCTGGAGGCATGCTGTGTCTCCAGCATTTTGACCCTGTGCTGCTGACTGTCTCAGGTGGGTGTAATCCCTCCCAATCCCTCTCATTGGACAAGGAACCTCTGGGCTTGACAAATTGCTCACATTATTGTCAGACTGGATGTCAGTTTCTGTGCTAATACAATGGTATTTTCTGATGAAAGTGTTTGCAGCTGGGAGGAAACAAAATAAAACAAAACCAAGAAAAAAAAAACTGACAAGTTCCATGTACATGTATGTTACGTGTGTGTATTTGATTATGTGAGCATTATGTGTGGTAGTTTTTGTTTAAAAAAATGATCAAACATAACAACAACAAAAACTCATAAAGACTTAATTTCCAGTGAATTCACCTGAATTTTCCTCATTAATTTAATGGAAAGCAACATAGAACCACCAGACCCTGTTTTAAATATTCTGTTACTTCTATATTGCTTATTTCTTATAATAAAAACTACTCGCTTATTCCTTTCTTTCTACAATTGTATTTTTACAATTGTAATTTCTTTCTACAATTGTAGAAAGAAAGGAATGGAGGGCTTAATTTAAACTATGTTTGTATTAAGAATTCAAATAACTTCAATTTTATGAACAAGTCAATCACCTGTTCCAATTCTGTTAGCTGGGCAGCTCCTGCTCTTTGCTTCTTTTGGGGCGAACACAGCAAAGTGGTCATTTCAAAAGCATCTCTGTGAATTAGAGGTTTAGGGTCTCAGGCTTTCCCTCCTGTAAAAGCATTAAAAAGGAAAAGACAAAAACAATACCACACGCACACAGAAAAAAAACTGTTTCACAGATAGCCTCAGGATAAGCCACTAATCTCACAGGCCAGTTTTCCAAAGAGTCCCAATACTGCACTAATTACCTGAAGTGCTGGGAGCAAAGATTTGGTGCCCTGGCTCCACCTCAACCAGCCGCACCTTCCCCCTGTGCAGAGCTGATGCCTTGCTTGGGTGGGTTTTCGATCAAGTCCTCAGAGCACACAGGGAACTGAGACTGGCCACCACATGATTTTTCATTTCTCTTTTCAGGGCTGCTAAAGCTTTTACTACTTTTGAAATTGTTCCTGAAGGGGAAGAAGGCCTAGCTAGGGCTAAAACAAAAGTGCATACTCAAGAACTGTAAAATGAGCTTTTCTGCATAATTAGCTCAGTTTTAAGCAGTGGACAAATTTCTTGTAGTATGCTTGCCATGAGCAGAGTGCAGGAACCTGGGATCTGACATGTACAGGAATAATCCTATCCTGACAAACCTGACATAATAAACCACCACATTCTTGTGGTATTGCAAAATATGTAAATCATTTTTTGGAATCTATTTTAATTATGATTTTTTTTTTTTCTGGTGAAATGTCGATGAGCTATTATTCATAATGTAAACTGACTTGGCAGTCAAAACATCTACATCTAAAATTCAACAGTCTCAACATATTTTAGAGAACACTGAAGAGAAGACTAAGGAGGCATGGGAAAATATTACCATCAGCATTCATGGGTCCTGTGACCTCCTCCTCGTCAAGACACTGCTGACTGGAAAGCCATTTTGCTTTCTGCCCTCCAACCTCACAGCTTGGTAGCACGGTGGCAGGGTCTCACAGCCTGAGGAAGAGCCTGACACATCCAGTGACATTAAGCATGCTCAAAGTTTTAAGATCCTGCTTATCTGAATTAGGAACTATTTTATTCTATGTATGTACCAATGCATCCAAAGCTCAGCTGCTCTGATGGTTATTCGTTGTACTCTGCTCAAACTCTGGTGGCAGCTGTCTGCTAGCAAGAGCTGGCAGGTGTATTGAGAGCATCTATAGCGTTAGAAATTAGAGGCAGCTTGGATCAACCTGACCCAGACCAAATCTGGCTGGGAAAGGGGCAGTGATGCCCTGATGTGGCAGGTGGGTGCTCTCCGGGGCCGTACCCACACCTGTTCTCAGCACTGAGCCTGCCAGTCCTGGCTCCCCAAGCAACCGGACAGGGGTCTTGCTGAAAAGCACTGGTATTCCCTGTCACCTGGGTTTCTCCTGGGCACTGGCAGACAAGGAGAGAAGGCTATGCATCCCAGCAGGCAGTTAGGAGGCAATGCTATCACTGGCAAGTGCATCCAGGTGCTGAAGTTTCCATGTAGCTCCACAGAGGAGATATCAGCCATTGTGCACTCCAGCCAGTGCAATGGTATCTCCACCTCACCCTGGCTTTGAAGAGCAACATACAGCTTTCTGTTCCAATGATTACTTTCTTTTTGCATGCTGACAACACTTAATTAGCTTTTTAGCTTTCTTGTACTTTTTTCCTTCTTTTATCTGTCCGGTTTATGCCTCTAGTTGCTATTCATTATGCTTTTAGAACTACAGCTTACCTTCTCTGAATGCATTTAGAATTGTATTATGTTTGACAAAGCTGCTTGTCTGCCTCTACTGTATGGGCTTTGTGGCTTGACTTTACTATGGTAAAAATTAAAGTTGGGGAAAAAAAAAAAAAAAAGTAGAGACTACAGAAGGAGCTTCAGTGTCCAAATCATCCTTGCAACCAAGCAGGAAGTCTTTCTCCGTGGTCATGCCACAGGGTGTTACGCATAGAGGTTGCACAAGTCGTTTAGAAATTAGAAGAGCGTTGTGTGCTTCCTGTGCAGATCTGGAACTGGCGAGGCTCTTAGTGACCCTCAGCTCCTGCCAGCCACATCTGGGTCACCTGCTTGACCTTCTGCCTGCAGAGGTTTCTACACTGTTCTCACAAACACTCAGACAGTCTGACAGATGCTCCTGGAAAGCTGGGCCTGGTATGTTGCATCTTGGTTTCAGACTTGGAGGTCTCCTTGTAAGAGGTCTTCTGTCCCTTGGTACTGCTAGGATTTCTAAGACAAAAGAAAAAGTTGTACAATTGAGATTTATTTATTTATTTTTCCTATTTGGGGTTCATCATTTTTCAGCTTCAGTGTCTGTCATGGTGGAAGCAAAGATATCTTTGCAACATGAAGGCTCACGAATCACTAACTTTGGGTGAGAGGGACACGATGTGGTCCACAGTTAATACAACCAAGTGGCAGATGAATGAGTCCATGCTCAGTTTAATGGCTGTTTAGCTCACAGATTCACTGTTTAGAAATGGAAGGACCTGGAGTTTAGATGTAAAACTACTTTCTAAAAGCCACAAGCCATTGACATAAGTGGCTAGATTTTCAAGTGTTCTGTCTGCATTTTCAAGTGGAGTGGCTGTAGCCAGATGTCAAAAAGTACCAAATTCCCAGTGCCTTAAGCTACATCGCATTCATGGGCAATCTCTTCTGGTAATGAAGATGAGCCTATTTGTGAGTCTTTCCACAATGATGGGGCTGGCCACAATAAAGAAAACAAAACAAAACAAAACAGAAAAAAACTTTAACAGAGAGTTTCAAATACTGTTGTGGAAAACATTTGAAAGTCCCTTTTCAACAAAATACGAAAATGGTGTTTTACAGGAGGAACTGCAGCTTTTCATAATTTTCTTCTATATGTCAGAAATCCCCAAAGTCCAAATCATTCTTCATCAAAAACCTTTATTGTTTTTTAAACAAAAGTTTTGTAACAATAAATACATGCCTTTGATAAAACCATGCACAACAACACTTTGAAAATGTTATATGCTGTTTAGATCTGTTTCGCTGCTCTTCTTCCCCCGATAATTGCAGTTCTCACCTCTTAAAAAGAAAACACAAAAATAGCAAAATTGTAGACACCATTACCTCAAGGCCACTGTCCACTCAGCTATCAAGAGTAATTTTTAACCCTCAACAAGCAGCCAAGCAGGACAATCAGAATATAATATATTAAGAAAGCCTCCTCTGAAACCTCCTGACCAGCCAGAGCTTCCCGAGTTTAGAAGGCTTACGGGAATTATGGTACAGATGTTGGCTGGCACTAGAGAAGGAGAGGCCAGAGGCGGGATTCGTAATTCTCAGTCCTTTATTTGGCCTGCACTGAGTGGGAGGAAAGGTGGATTTTGTTTCTTTGGGATCCTACTGGATAACAGTGAGGGGAGAACTGGCAAGTCATGAATGTGCAGAGTGGGAAGAGCATGTCCCTGGCACACCTTGAGAAATTTCCTGCTGCTCCCTGGAGCTGAATCTGAATTTCAAGACTGCAGGGTTGATCCCGGTTTGCCTTGCACCCTAGTGGAGATGAAAACAGACAAACCACTGGGAAGAAAAGCAGGTAAACAAAGGGCCATTTGCAAATTGAGTTGGCTCTCTTTCAAATGCATACAGAAGCAGACAGGAGCACTTCTGAAAAAATTCCCCCCTTTGAGAGCCGTAGGGCATGGGGTTCATAGCTGCATAATCTCACTAGCTGTTGCTCCGAAGGCAACTATAAATATCAGGTTGTTGCAAGAAAACCCACAAAGGTTTCCTGTTTCTTATGGTTCAAGATAAAGGTTGCACACAGCATGGGCTCTGTTCTTTAGAGCAGTTGTTCTCTAACGGGCTAGAGTGAAAGATCTACAATTAACTCAATTTCAAGCAGCTTATAACTTTTCAAAGTAATTAAAGTCACTTGGCACAAACGGCTGTGCCACCAGAAACTGAAAAGCGCAAAACTGTGGGCGGATTTGGTACAAAGCACGGTCCCACCTCCTAGAAGAGAAAAAGCACAAGACATGAGTTTCTCCTAGTGGGGAGAACCACAGGCTGGTTTGCAACCTCAGTGAAACAATGAACATGGCTGTGCTTCAGCTCAGAGCAAAGGCTGGCTGCTAGCTGCTGCTGCAGCAGTGGAGATTTCTGAGGCTGTGTCAAGAACCTGGGGGAAAATGTTGATTACACTTGTTAACCTGATCTAAGAAAAAAAAAAAAAAAAAAAGATCTGGGGAATAAAAAAGAATGACCTTTCAGCACAGTAATCTATCCACCACGGTGGATTGCATCTCCTGCACTTTCCTCTTCTGGTGGCTTCTTTCCAGCTCGTTCCCCCTGGAAACAAGAGGCGTTTGAGCGATGCAAGAGAGAAGCAGTGAGTCAGTGTGCACGGTACCGCAGCGGCTGCCCTGCTGCTGTGTGCGTAGATGTATCTGAGCAGCTGTGGAGCACGCTCCCAGTGCCGGCGAGGAGGAGCAGCTTTGGCAACGCAGAGACAGCGTGGGCTGGGGAGAGCAGAGAAGTGGTGTGCACGCTCTGGGGACCCTGTGCAGGCACAGCATGTGCTGAGAGCTGAACCTCAGCTTGCTCTAGTGATGCAGCTACGTAAGCTCAAAGCCTGAGCTGAAGACAAGGGTGTTGCACTGATGCTGAACCGACTTGGAGATAAAAATCACCTCATCTGCTCTTGTACCAGGTCCCACTGGGGATGCTGCTGACACGGCTTTGAGGTTTGTGCTTGGCAGAGCTTCAGGTAGGGCACAGAGAAATGCGAGGAACTTGTGCTGGTGTGCACAGTTTCAGCATCTGCCTTCAGCTGACAGACCAGGCATCCTTCTTAAGAGGAAGGCATGAGCTTGTGCTGCTTCTAAGAAGCTGTATGCAGAGGCGCTGAAGGAGATGGCTGCTGTCCCTCGGTGAGGCTGCAGCACCCCCAGCACCTCTCCCAGGCAGAAAGCAACAAACAAGTCTGGGACTGGATCACTCAAACTTGTCTCACCACAAGCTTCTCTGCTTTTTTCCACCATGTGACAGAAAGGCAGTACCGCACCTGACCAAAAAAAAAAAAAAAAGTCAGTTTCCAAAGGCTGATGAACAACCCCCAGACTCTGCTGGTGAAAAGGAAGTAAGCGTGAGCTGCTGTGTGAAGCGTTATTTAGCTCATCTCACAGGGGAACCACACTTACATCCAGTTTTTCTAGCCCTGATACTGGAGCCCTTGAACTGAAGCTGAGAGTAAGCTTCGTTTGGACCCATTTGGAAGTAGGAAATGCTCATCCTTACTTGGGTGGAGGGCAGTCACATTCACTAAGACACCACTACGCAGTAGTGCTATACAGCAGGTCTCTTTGTTGCTTTAACCTCCATGGCATGAAATCCTCAAGTAAGGCCTAGTGTTTGCATTGGACTTTCACCACTGAATTTTGCCTGAAAGCATACATACACTTCACAAGCTCTTTCTTTTAAGTCTTAAAACAAAGTGCAGAAACTCTTGCTCAGCTGCCCCCTAGCTTAGTGGCTGTTAAATTTCACAGACACTTTACTTTATGAAATTCTCACAGTTCCCTTTCTGTCCAGAAGTATTCTAGTCCTGATCAGACCAGGCAACTGGATACCCCCTCATCTTTAAGCCCATTTTATAGTTAAAACCAAAGTGTTCCTCCTATTTCCTCCCCTGAGAAAGCCAGGCTGGGCAGATTTACCTTGAATATGCCTAATACACACCAACAGGATCTTCACAGAGTTCAATGGCTTCATTCATTTAAAGCACTTACACAGCAACTACAGCTTCCTTTTGTAATAATCTTATGTGCTTTCCCCATACTCGGGGCTAATTTCTGCCTATTTGTCCAAAACATTTCCCTTTCAGCTCATCCTGATGCATTTTGAGGGGGTTCTGTTTTTATCTTAGATTTCTTTATTCTTGATGACAATTTGGCCACGTCTGCCCCAAGTATCTGTGCACACGCAAGGTAAGTAATTCCATTAAAGACATGCAGAGGACTGTAAGGGATGTCCGCCATCTGACGCACATTGGCAGCTCACCCTACTCTGCACCTTGTGAGCTCACTGAGACATCCACGGCAGCCTTTCCTCATTTCCAGGTTGCTCCATAGCCTGAAGGGATACCCACCCACATTTTCCAGACCATAGGGTAGTCAGGATGGGACTAGTCCTCTCTCCTACTGATGAAGCAAGATCCCTGCAGTGACTGAAATGCAGAAGACACGTGGCCACAGAGGGAAAGAAAAGGAACAGAACCGAGTCTGTCTGCCTTATACAACACACAAGTAGCCAAACCACCAATTATTTAAAACACATGGGGGATGGGGCAGCACCACACTCCAATTTGCAGGTACTGCTGCTATCGAGTCAGATGCAGGATGCTTGTGTATGGGACATGGCACAGGTCCATATCACATCCTGTTCCTGGGCCGAGGCTGCAGCCTAGCAGCAAGCACAAGGAGCAGGCAGCAGGACTGAGAGCACTTCACCTGACCGATGTCCTGCTCTGTGATCACTTTGAGAACCCCCTGGCAAAGCGTGCAGCTGTCAGCTGGACAGGCCTCAGGGGATCTCAGCAGATCGCGCCTGACCCAAGGTGGGCAGGGCGTTAAACTTTTGTAAAATGAAGCATCTCACCCAGGATGTAGTAGTTTAGATGGCTGATAAAAGTCTCTTTGAAGTAAGATTTTGGTTTCGGGTTGCACCTAGAGTGATAAGTGAGAGCACTGCTGTGGAAAGTAGCTATCCCGTTCCTCCCTTGTCCCACCTGCAACTGCCATAGGGTGAGTCAGTTCAGCTGGAGGAGCTGGCAAAAAACAACCCTGCAAAACATAGGAAAAAAAGAAAAAATATCATTAGATCAGCCACTGTATCCTCTCATCCTCTAGCCAGACAATTACCAATTCAAGGCAGAAAGAAAAGCCAAGAAGTCTTTGGAAAGAAAATCATTTGGAAGGGCTTCCTATTAGCTGATGTGTAATGCAAACCCACAGCCTCAGGGGCCCAGGTAAGGAAAGGCAGCAGCTGAGCCTCAGGTACACCTTTCCTTTTGCCAACACTGTTATGGGAAAGTATTCTTTGCCAGTAAGGCAGGCACATTTTAAACAGCCAGGGATATTTACTCAGTGATTTCCTATCATAACCCTTCAGGCTCCAAGGCTCCCTTGTGAGCTCCTTTCACAAGGTCTTGATTGAGCTAATGTCTCATGGGCACTCAAGTCACTACAGCAGGAGACATTTCTCTGTAGGTAGAGGGTGGGATCTGCAAAGAGATTGATGTACCCTTCCATGTCCTGATCTCTACACAATGCTCTGCAGAGGAGAATGGTCAGCCTGGGTTTCTTTTGACACAGAGGTGTTTGCTCTCTTACAAAGCAGGGACCAAACCCTTCCACCAGGCTGCATAATCTTACTCAAGAAATCTGGAAACATAGGTCTATGCAGCTAAAGTGGAGAAAGCAGAAAAATACTACACCCATACAAAAATCTGGGGCAAAAAATAGATCCTGTTGCCGGAGTGGCCTGCACTCTGACATGTCCCTGTTAAACCCAGTGGAATGCAGAGATACCGAGGAAAGCAAGCATACTCAGTCCATGTACCTCATTTCTTGGCTGCACTGCTCTACTCTCTGTAGTCAAGTGTAGTGTTTTTGTTTTGGTTTTGTTTTGTTTTGTTTTTCCAAATGCCATTTTAATGATTAGGATGTAGTTTGTACTGCAGCAGAATTTCCTCTGCTAAGAGTGGATTCATCTCTGGTGCATGTAAATGGGCTTTTTAACTCTGCAAGGAACACTTTGTGCATTTGTGTTTTATTTACATGTATCTCAAACTTAACTGTGCTTGACATGAGCCCTGACACAAAGAGATTTCCCAAATGCTAAGGGCAATCCAAAGTCACTAATCACTTTGGCAAATCCTCGCTATAATGGTGCCTGATTTAAAGCCCAATAAAGTCAATGGAAAGAATTTCCTCTGACTTCATTGTCTGTCAGCCACGTTCATAAAATTCCCATTCATGTCTGTACAAGATACCTAAGCACAGGTATGACAGGACAGGTTGCAGAAGGTTGTCAAACCACTCCCATAAAAGGTTGCCAGATGACTACTGCTTTTGCTTTCCAATCACAAGCCCATTGGGCTCTCCAGGTTTGTATGTCACTCATGTCTACTCCTAAGGATGGAGACCTGCCAGTTGTTTGCCATGGCTTCCACCAGTCCACAGTGCTCTGATCATCTTCGTTACAAAAACAGAGTTTGGTTTAAAATGGTGTTTTCTGTTAGGTGGGAAGACCCTCTTTGTCTCCACATCAGACAGCAAGAAGATCTCTACCTGGCAGAGCTCCCCCAGGAGGTGCCTCCTCTGTTGCCCCCCTGAAAGAAGCCTTCCTGCTTCTGCAAGAAATAGTTCCAGGTGTGTGAGTCTACCTCCAGCAACAGGAAAGTAGAGGAGCAAACTCCTAAATGAGACAATATTGCTCAAGCCTGCTTTTAAATGCATGCAAGAACACGATGATGACCGGCACGTCTTTGACGCGTGCATTCACATTGCACTGGCACACTCAAGCCTTGGTCTTCTTCTCCGAGTTCTCTTTTTAAGTAATGCTTTTCCATCAGTACCACTGAATGCTTCTGTTACTTCCCACAGATGACACTTCTTCCTCTGGATAGTTACTCAGAAGCTGGGTCCCAAGAGAAAGAGGGAAAAATCTAACCTGGGTAATTGTGCAGAGTGAGGGAACGTGTCCCATGTGTCACCCATGCTGCTCCGCACCTCTGTCAGCATGCAAAGCTGCACACCAGTCGGCACATACACATCTTTTCACCTGGGCTACCAGGCTTCGCCTAAAAGACAGCAAAACATCAAATCTCACTGCCTAACACTGACACAGCTCAGCCTTCATAGTTTAAGAAACTGGAGTCAACACCTAACCCTTTCATTCTAACTGAAAATAACCTCTCTGAGAAACTGTGATGCAATTTAGGAAGAAATTCCCCATATTTGGCAACAAACTTGCCTCATTCCAGAAACCTTAAATCACACTGCCTAACCACAGGCATACTTTTGATCTGAACATTAACTCTTTTTCTTTCATTAAAGGAAATATAATCATTTCTGCTGATTTCCATGTCTGAGAAGAGACAGGGGGACCCAGCTGGGAATTTCAACTTTTTGTCTGATTCATTCCTTTGCCTAATTTCCCATCTTCCTAAATAAACATCCTTCATCCTAGATGTGAAAAGAAATGCTTTCATTTTTGCTTTGCAGAAATTATATTAATTACATTAAAATAAGTCTCAGCTATGAAAACAGGCAATGTAACTGACAAGTAACTGCCTGCATATACATTGCTAAAGAGAATTGACAGAAAAGCCATAAAACTAAGGCCTGGGCTCTGTTGTCACTGTTTTTCTTTATCAGCATTGTTGAGCCATTGTCCTGCAAGCTCTGTGTCTATATTTACATAGACAGATATGTCTGTGTAATAATGTCAATTATTTGGAAGAAAGGAAGAAGCTGCCAGAAAGAAAGAAAGACAGATAAATGATTGTTAGTTTCTCATATCTAGCAAGTAAACAAAGAGGGAAATAAATCTTTTCTTGTTCATTTTCTCCTTTTTAGATATAGAACTTCAAAGAATCACCCAATTTGCAGAGATAAGGCTGTCCTTAAAAGCAAGTGAGAGCCTGTAGTCAAGAATGTGCAAGATGATTAGTCAGGTTGCTACTAAGTTTGGGGAATGAATTAACTCTGCTGCCAAATATGGGCAGATTTTTTTCCCCCGGTCAGATTTATCTGGCTGGAAATGCTGTATTGCCTTGCTATTTCAAGGCAATCTTGAAATTTACAGTGTGCCCTGAATGTAGTCACAGGAGTAAAGAAAAAAATCTTGTGCACAGTATATTAGTGCCGATTACAGAGCTTGAGGTTTTGTTGTGACACTGAGCTCTCCCAGGCAACTTTTTAAACAGATCTGCTATGAAAGGCGACACTCATTTTTTTTCCAAGGGGAGTTGATGAAACAGGTCAAGAAGCCATAGGACTTAGGCAGCTCTTTTCCTCAGCCAGTTTCCTGATGTAGACATGAAAAGTATGCCACTAAAGTTTTCTGCACCCAAGCTGAGGAGTCCAATCCTTCACTCCACCTCTTTGGTGTAATACAAGTCATTTGCCCCTAGGCAATGAACCTTGCCTGCCACAGCCCGGCATATACGCCTGCAGCTGACTTCTTCAGGAAAGCAGCTGCTGTGAACCTGAACCTTCCCCTGTACTCCACCCCCCTTTTTGCATCCACCTATTTCACAGAACTTTCAAGAAAATCCACTTTTCTTCCCATAACCTCCATTTGTTTTTAACAAAAAAATAATGAACAGGAAACTAATGAGCAATAGCCATTTATTGCTTAAGCTACCCCCGTGCTTTATTACTTGGCTTCCCAATCAGGGAGCCTGCATTTTTACAGTTCTCATTTCATTTTTGGAATGGTTTCTCAAGCTCCTCCTCCCTGGCAAGGGTCCCTGCTCTCCCTCTGTGCTCTGGGTGGCAGCAGGTCCGGCACCACCAGCCATCCTCTCCTGCCAAGCCATTCTGAAATACACTTCCAGCTTGGGCTCAGCTCTCACTGTTGCCTCCACCAATATTTTGGATGATTCCCACATTTCTGACATGTCTTTGCATCCCCCTTTTTTCTTTGGCATTAGAACTGCCTGGATGGAAAGCCTGCCTGCTAGCAGCAATTTGCTCTCTCTACTGTTTGCAGCTGGCCAAGTTCAATAAACACTGGCTTGATGTATCTGGTCTAACATGTTGCATGCAGGCACTTGTGCTGGAATCATGCACCCACTACCGTGCCTGCTGCATGAGCAGAGGGCCGTAGCTGGCTCCTCACTTTGACTGTGGAAGAACCCAGCAGCAGGAGGTACAGGTACAGATTTTCAGGTTACAGGCCAAGGATGTTGAACCTACACACTGTTCTCCTTCCTATGAGGAGCACATGAGCCTCAGCATCCTCAAACCTTGCTACAGAGAGCAGGGTTGCTCCTGTAGGTAAGCAGCTGCACGTCCATACAAATGCAAGCATCATCTTGGCAGCCAGCAGTCGGAGATGGAGAGGACAGGATAACATACAACAGGAAGGCAAGGTTGTAAACAAAGGAAAAGGGAAGCGTTTGAGCAGAACGTCCAACTTCCATGAGAATTTAACTATTTAGTCCCTCCAATGCTGTATCACAGTTTCAAGACAGTGACGTGCTCTTTCCAGTGAGCAATGGTGTGCCAGAAGATAAAGTCTATATTTTACAGTGTGCAATTATTTGTACAGTACAGGCAGGCCTTGTTCCACTATGTGCTGAACAAATACAGTGGGGAATAGCTCCCAAAAGGGCATGCAGTCACTGTGTGTGTGTGGGAGGGGGGGGAAGGATGGAGAGCACACACAGAAGGACAAGTTGCTGAGAGAGCGCATGCTCCTTGCTCAGCACCCATTCTTCTCGACATTACCTGTGCTTCAAAGACTCAAAGTAATTGCAGCCTTGTGCATGTTGTTGTTCTCTGCCCCAAGGCCAGCAGTTCAATGATGTAATCTCAATTCCTCTGCAAAT